CATAAACAATAATTATTGTTTGTACACAGACAAAACTTATATAGAAATTGTTAGTACACACAGACAAAATTTGTATAAAAATTATTTATGTATAGTCAAAATTTAACTTGTATAAATATTATATGTACACAAACACTTGGTCAAAACTTATCTTTGCAAATACACTTAGAGTACTGATATGCGACTGTATCATTTGTATCATTAACTATATGAGAAATTGAATACTAAATCACAAATATGGTAACTGAACGTCACTGCTCCAACTTCTCAAGAACGCATCAAAAAGAGTAATACACCGTTGGCAAAACCATAGCAATTTCTCTCTTTATGTCTGAGTTATAATTCTTCATGTATTTCTTCTATTTGGCTATGGTCCAAATGCACCCCTAAAATGTTGTTCCTGCAGTTACTTTCAACAAAAGATGAAGATATCAGTTGGAGTACATACATAAAAAAACTCAGAAAAAGAATTTCAATTTTCTATGCAAAATGTAAAAAAAAGCACAAACGTATAACAACAAACTACACAGACATTTCAGGAAAACTATATAGACAACTAATAAATGCACAAACATATAACAACACACTATACAAACATCTCCGGAAAAGCATAAAAACAACTAGAAAATCCACAAACGTATAACAACAAACTACACAGACATTTCAGGAAAACTATATAGACAACTAAAAAATGGACAAACATATAAGAACACACTACACAGACATCTCTGGAAAATATTAACAACACTTAGTAGACTAGTATCTTAATAACAAACAAAGAATCATAATATTCAATTAAATAGTCAAAAACAGTTAAACCAAGATCAAACACAAACACATTAACAAAAAAAAGAGAAAAACACAAAAAATTCATGGATATGAATGAAATATTTCATTGAAACATTTCAACAAACACCTTATAGGCACAAACCCATCAAGCATACAAATATATTTTTAGAAAAAGAGAAAGAATACAAAAAAATCATGGTTATAAATAAATGAGTTCATTTGAGCATTTCAACAAACATCTTAGAGGCATAAAAATGAAAAAGTATAGTTGAAGAAAAATTGAATGGATGTGGAGTTGGAGAAGAATGAAAAAAAAAGAGGGAAAAAGAGAGGAGCTGTTGCAGAAGAATGAAAAGAAAATAAAGAAAGGGAGAAGGAGAGCTTACCGCATAGAAAGGGCAGGGAGAAAGCTTCCACCGCAGATGGCGTGTCCCCGGGACTCGGCCCGAATATATCCTCCCTTGATTCCAGCCCAGGCCAAGTTCGTCGTCGCCGCCACCGCCATACGTCTTACTCGCTTCCTGCCGCTCGTTGAGAGAGATAAGGGATGACAAACAAATGAAAAAAAATGGACAGACAATTTGTTATCTGCACAGGCATTTTCGTTTGGGAATAAAGGGGAGAGGAGAAAGGGAGTGGGGTGGATTAATTCAAAAGTGGGGTGAGTTAGAAAGAGGGGGTGAGTCTTTTTATGATGTGTAGTGTGGTGTGTACAATGCTGTGTACACATAGCATTTTCCTTATTATAAAGAAAAGGAGAAAGGTATAACCTGGATTTGGAGGCAGACTCTTGGGACTTGGGAGAAGACAAAGAGATGCGGCTATGGAGATGGGAGAAAAGAAAGAGACGGACGAGGGTTGCGACCAGGCATGGACTGGTCCCAGGCCGGGACAGGCTGGTCCCGGGCGGGCTTTTTTGGGTTTGACTTCGGGCCCGAAACCGGCCCGGGTTTCCACCGGGTCCGGACCGGTCCTGGGTCGGTTCCCGGGCTTCTTAATTTTTTTTTGCTTTTCTAATTAACCCCCGACCCTCCCCCCTCACCCCCACCCCCCCAAATCCCCCCCAAAACACTCAGCCCAACCTGGGAAAAACAAAAAAAATGAAAAAAAAATAGGCCCGAACCGGGCCCGTTCCTATTTTGGGTGGCCCAAACCCGCCCTGTTTTTCCCAGGCCAGGCCTACCCAGACCGGTCTCTGGCCGGGCGCCTGGGCCACCGGGCCGGTTCCCAACAGTGCTGGGCCGGTCCACCACTGGTTGCAACAATGGGAGAAAAGAAAGAGATGGGAAAAAAAGAGGCGTGGGCTTTAAATTCCGGAAACCACCTTTCCTCACTTTTGAAATGAAGAATTCGTTTTTAAAAACACTTTGCGCGTTTTTAATATCTATCTATATACAAACCAAGGTGGAAAACCAGCCAAAATCCCGCCAAAAGATACTGGTAAAAAATTGGGTCGGGTCTGTCAATAATTTTCAACCACTGTTACATGGGCCAGATGATCAAAAGTTGCTTTGATCTGTGTGCTGTCACACGGTGTTGTGGATTTCCAATGCACCCGTGACATGATACCATTGAAATTCAGGATATCAATGTCTGAGAAAATCGATCTCTTCCGCAAATAAATCATCATCCTCAAATAACGCCTTCGTGTTAGCAAGCAATGAGAATTCTTGAATGCTAACAGCTGTTCACCCTTGAATAACAAGCAGAAACATGTCCTTGGAACAATTGTCCAAGCCTAAATAAGTCTACGGAGGCCATAGAGCTGCTTGCTCGCTGCTTGGGTTGACGAACAACAGTTGGGTTGGGGAGATACTTGCTCTTCTGATCTATTACCGTGTTGTGTACTGGCCTGGTAAGCAAGCTTTGTGTTCTGGGGGTCATAATTTCAGTTTGTTGGTTAGGGTTTAGTGTTGGTGTTGATTTGCTGGGGGTTCCTTTTCTGGGTAGTCCCCAGTGCTCTGGTCGCACACTTCCTTAGGGAAAGATTATGGCGCCGGCAGAAGAAAACCAACGTTTGGTTCTCGCTTATGTCTTGCAGCCTTGCAGAGCCCATGGTGGCCTTCGATGTCTTTTGGGTCCGACTTGGGGGATTGATTGGTGTCTGGGATGTGGCAGCTGATTCGTTCTCCGAGCAATTCGTTGCCGGAATCGTTGGTCAACCTTGGGTCTAACAATGGACTGGGAAAGGATGAAAGTACTGATCCTTGGTGGGGCCGTTGGTAGATGCAGGGCCGCTGGCGGGTCGCTTTTCTTGCAGGCTGGACCTGTTACTATGGTGGAGCAAGCTTCGCAATGGCCCAGCAGTTTTTTTTTTGAAACAAGGGTCTGGGCAGATTAAATATCATGAATATATAATTCTTTTGATTGTTCCAGGTTCTTCACATTCTCATTACACTTTTCAAATGAAGAAAGACTTCATTATCTTCTAATGGAATGTGTGATAATATTCGTACATAAAAATAATTACATTTATATAAAATAAAGATTATGTATTTCAAATTTTCAAGGCGTCAAGACTATCGATGTTATGAAATTATGGTGACTTATTTTAATTATACCCTTTAATTTCTGACTATTTCAGGCTATATGTTTAAAATAATTACATTTAAATAAAATAGTTGTAGATGGTGACTCTTTATTACTTTCAAGGCTAATCATTACATCTGAAAGTAATACGAGTAATACATACATTTAAATACGGAGTATGTACTTTCGAGATAATAATTACATTGCACTGTGACCTAATTAGCCTTGACGTCATTTTTAAAAAATCATCATTTTCGATGTTCAGCCATCATCTTTATCTATGGTGCCGCCTTATTTTAAATGTTATCCTTATAAATAAAGAATATCAAACGAATCTACTGATTTATTGAGTCGTGAATAACATATGATTTGTTAGGGCATCCTCATCCAGTTTTTTTAGAGATCATTGTGATGATGTGGAGGATTTTTTTGGAGATTATGGTTGAGGAGTTGAGATTATTTGTAGAGATTATTTGATAAAAAAAATCTGGTATCAAATTCTAAATCTAGATTATTTGAAGATTATTTCTAACTTCTAGGTTCCTCTCCTCATCTTCTAGGCACATGCTTCGATTCAAGATTCCAAGTTAGGACCCGTTGCTATTAAATTAACTACATTTGGGCACACTATACTAAATATGTAGTGTATATACTTATTAATTCATCTGTATGCAGAAAGTAGAGTTGTACACTTATTTTATATTTTATTGAGTGTATGTCTCATAAAAAATCTAGATAAATTGAGATCATGGATGAAGAGAAATTAATAGGTTTAGAGATTATTTGAGATCATCTTATGTGGAAGTGATATGACAATAAGAAGCCATAAAAACCCGTAAATCTGATTATCATGAATGAAGATGCTCTTAATATGTTGTCAAATTTGGGACTTAGATAAACAAAATGAACAGGGAAAAAATCAAATAAAGGCGTTTTAGAGTGGTTTTCTCGAGTGAATTGGGTAATGTACTAGAGCATTGTTGCGTGATCGAAACTTTTAACCAATGGTTAAACAATTGAACAATAGGGAGCACTCTATATTACACATTAGTTGAGGAGAAAGATGTCACTTGCCACTCCCTCTTTTGTTTTCCATTAGAGCTTATTCTAAATCTCCATCCAAATCTTCTCAGACACATATTTGGCTGTCAAGAAATACGGAGTACTATTTTATTCTAAATCTTCATCCAAAACTTATTCTAATAATATTTTGGTCTATGAAAAAAAGAATTACAGAGTACTATTTTATTCTATACTCAACTAATGGAATTATTTATGTCAACCTATCATCTGAATTTCTTATCAAAAAATTTGATAGTGTTGTCTCAGTATATGTTGAAATTATTTGTCTGTCGATTAATAATTTTTTAAAAATGAGATTAATTTTAGTAGATAAAAAAATATATTTCACACACAGTATTATTTTAAATCATTTTTCCCTTTTTACTATCACTAACATTCCTTCCCTTTTAAGTAATTTTTCCTTTTCACTATCATTTAAACTATGTCCCGTGCATCGCACGGGTGAGAATCTAGTTTGGAAACAGAATGAGTTCTTGCCTAGCGGGTTTTGCTTTTTTATTTTGAAAGCAAAAATGGAAATAGCAAAACGGCAATGATGCCGAACAGACCCTTAGTAAGTCATTTTTCTTTATTTCATCATGTTATCAAGTAAAAAAGTAGTTTTTTTTTAAATAAAGACTTTAATTCATTTCTTCATTAAGAATATCCAAAATACAAGACGGAACATGATTAAAGATCGTACGAGAAGCATAATTAATAGACTTCCTAGCTAAAGCATGGGCGCTACTATTTGCTTTTCGTCTAGTGAAAACAACTTTAAAATTGTTTTTTGTTGCTAGTAGGAATTTGCAGTCCTCTAGAAGCGAACCATATTCTGAAATATCCTCCCGAGCTGAATGCACATCCTGAACTACTTGTTTTGAATCCATCTCGAAGATGACTTGTTCTTGATCCATGTTTTGCATCCAACTCATTGCTTGACGGAGGATGTTTTCTTTTGGACTAAAATTTGCTGGTCTGGTCTAGTCTGATCTGGTCTGAACTGGTCTGGTAAACGTCTGGTCTCTGTGTATTTTATAACTACAGAAGTCTGGTTTGGTCTAGTCTGATCTGGTCTGGGACTGAAAACAGTCCAAAAGAAAACATCCGGAGTCCCCATACCTCTGCTTCTACCGGCGAGAGAGATGCTTTGCACCATTCCGACATAGCCATATAGAAATGTCCCTGATGGTCCCTAACGCAGCAGCCCATACCAGCCCTTCCATCTCTTTAATGATAGCTGCATCAACATTGCATTTAAGGGCTGGCCAGTAAAAAAGTAGTTAGTCTTTGAGTCCATTGGAAATGATGGAAAATTGTTAAAATAATCAAATTAAACTTATACATTCATTCTTGTCAATGTACAGAAAACAGAGCGAACAGACAAATTTATCCAATATTTGCCCCCAATAAAGATCTTGTTATGTACATTTGAATACAGCAGAAGCAGAGGGTTTCATAAAGTCCATCCTGTCAAAGAAACAGAATACGTCCCAAGAGTAAGCCTAGCATCCTGAAAGCGCTTTACTAAGCACATTCTGCAGCGAATCCAGAGTTGATTTTGCTAGCCAACTGAATCCCACTTTTACGCGGTGCTCGTTGCTTGGTAATCTGATCAAGTATGCTATTTTTCTCGCTGTAATGAGAATGGACGCAATAAGGTCGCTAGGAATGGAATGAAATACAATGAGGGGGAGGGGGGATCAGGAGGTCTGGGGATACCGGTATGAGCAACAAGACCATCCAAGGTGATCCCGTTAATGAAGCTCGGTGAAACAGCTGCATCATACTTGCCCAGAGTCATCATTTCACCTAAACTTTGAAATCTGCATCAATCACATAATCCATTATCAGTAGTTTCTAGTCAACCCTGTCCATTTGGACTGAAATTTAAATCATCAACTATTGTTTGAGCTGGTATAGTATTATATGTATTTTATAATTATTATCCAAGTCTGGAGTGTTCTGTTTGATTGTATTCTATTATTGTGATCTTGTCTGATCTGATATATGACTAAAACAAGTACAAGTGAACACGCATCAAACATTGTATTGACTTCATTCAGTCATGCTTCATGATTTGGGTTGATTTTACAACTCATGTAGGGGGCACAAAAATAATGATTTTCTCAACTCATTGCTGCCCCTAAAACATTGCCAAAATGTTTTCTTGAATGTATTTAGTGTTGAATGATTTTGGGCAGTTTGATTGGTGAAATGATATGCACATTTATTTTCTTCAAAAAAATAATTTAAACAATTAATTGACATTATAAATTTCATGTCACTTTTATCTTATAATTTTTTCTTTTTTATTTTATCTCATCTTTTTATCTTTTTTATCTTTTTAATTTTTTTGGCTTCGAATTCATATGTCGATTCATGTTAGACGATCCCAAATTCTTTTGGGACTAAGGCTTGGGTGTTGTATAAATTTCATGTCACCGACCGAAGTATCCTAGGGCCTGTTTGGTAACGACGACAACGGCTGAATAGGCTTAAAAGGCTTATAAGACTAAATGTGCTAAAGTGAAAGTGTTTGGTAATATGTTGCCTGAAATGACTGATTGAGTGTAAAATTACTATAAAGGGTATTAACTTATACTGGGTATATATTAAATATATGGGTGTGAACTTTGCTTGTAAATTAATTTTGCTTGATTATAATTAGATAAGTATAAAACTGCTTGATTAATTATTACTTTGGATTTGTTTTACACATTATTATTAATTTTTGTAAAAAAAATGAGTAAATTAATTTTAAAAATACACTTTCTATAAAGTATACGGATATTAAAAGCTCACATACACTTAAAATAAAATAAAACCAAACAAAAAATACGGATAAGTATTTATTGGAGTTTGTTTGAATGTTACTTCAAAGTCCAAAACAATAAAATATAGACCACTACTTAACAGTGTCTACGTGAACAACCAGCTTTTGATCCAGAGCCTTGTTCAAATTATAGGCAACTGAAAACAACGTATTTCAGTACAGAAGGGAGAAGCAGGTCTTTTTAATCTTCAACAGTACAATAATAGAAAACAGCCGAAAAAGTTACCATTTTGTTGTTTTTTCAGCTGATCATAAAAATCAGCCCAAATAGCCAATTCAGCAAGTGTTTGGAGATTTTTTTATGCTTTCAGGCTTATAAGCCCATTTTGAGAGCTCCAAACGGCCTCCTAATAGTTGGGATATACTCCGTAGAATTTAAGGTGTTGACAGTGTGGTGGGGCCCGTGGGGGTGGTGATATAATGTACTTCCATTAAAGGAATTTATATCAAGCCACTACATTGTATTGTGAACTACGCATGAGTAATGTCATGATAAATTGAGACTCCAACATAAAAATGGTCGTGAAAGAAAATGGTGGTGCTAACCACAGTATGAGCAATATTACTCAGTATAATATTTAATTAATCTACAAGAATACCAATTATCAAAATCATACCTAAATGGCAACAATTCCCGACCATTGATAGAAGCCCACAAGTTCCAACCAGCCAGATCAGATTGCTGGAAAGCAACCTGCAATAAAAAAAAAATGTAGCAGAAAACTGAGAAAAGTGGTCATGGACACATGCATACTATAAAATAATAATACTCTGTATTAGTTTATTATTATTTACAATAACTTCAGCTGTCAAAGTAACATTTATGTCAATCACCTGTGCAGTAGCTGGAAGCAATTTTCCATTTTTGTCCCTCAATGCAGAAGCATCGCCAACTGCAAAGATGCGTGGGTGACCCTTAACTAGGAGGGTTTCATCTGTTTCTGCCTGTCCCCGAGCATTCAGAGGAAGTTCATATGTCTCATCACTAAGATCTAACTCCGGAAGTAGTGGCTTTGACCCAACAGTCCATAAAACTAGGTCTGATTCCACAACTTCACTCTGCAAGCCTCTCTGAGAAGACTGTAACTCCAAGATTATACTTTCAGATGCCATTTTTGCAAGATCACCGTGATCAATTTCACCCTTGACCTCTTTTCTTATGCAACTGACAATGTAACCAAGTAATAGTTGAACTTTCCTGGATGACAGAACCTGCAATTTTCTCACAAGTTTAATTAAAAAACCTAGTGCACATACTCTAGATGCATGGAAAAGGGGAATCTTGTATTAGAAATCACCATTACACCCCTTACCAAAACAAATCTGTCTAATAAGGTCAAAAAAAGTTAACTGTAGTAGTACCACACTCCCTGTGAGATATGAAAATAGCCTGGTGGATATGTCTAAAAAGCATAGTTGTCATGGCATATGGCATAAATCTTGCCGCCCAGACATTTTTTTGTGGCAATGGCGATGCACATTTATGCCGTCGCCACATAACACACAATATAATTACTAAAAAAATGAACTATAGGCAATATAAATCAACAACCAAAAATGAGCAAAAGAGTTGAAAAACACATTCTAACCCAAATATATCAAGTTTAAATAGTTTCATGTGGTTCCCAAAATAACTTAATATCCAAAAAATCTAGTCTTCCAGAACATGTCAATTTGTTGTGCATATTAGATACTTGGATGAATAAGATCTAATCATCACCAATTATCACACTCCTACTGTGGAAGAGCAATTTCCGTTTAGTTGTGCGCAGCTTTCTCTTGACAGAGAATTAGTTGTGCAACTTCTCTGGACAGAGAATTAGTTGTGCAACTTCTCTCGCATCAATTCTATGTTAGCTGATGTCTACTTAGTTCGGTTATTAGGGTTTTATTTATATTATGAGTGGGCTGACTGGTTAATTAGTAACCAAGGCCAAATACCAACAACAATTAAATGAACATGTTAAAAGATGCGCAAAAATATGGCAAATATGACGTAGCGATGGCGCACTTTAACGCCGCTGCATGTATACAGGTCCCCAAGAAGCACTCTTATGGCGAAGACTTCAGGTTGCCCATTGTGTCTTATGGCAGGCACCTTCAGGTTGCCCATTGTGTCTTATGGCAGGCACCGTTTGCGGCGTTGACAACTATGTTTAAAAGGAAATAAAAAATAAACAGAATAGAATACAAATGCACACAAAATGTTTATTGCAATTTGCAGACATAGTTCTTAACTTCTTAATAATTAAAACTCTCAATACTTTGCTACTAAATTATATGAAGCATACATAAATTGGAGGGAACACATCTCATAAAAGTGGTTGTCACATTCTTATTTTCCTGTGTGATTAATAAGGTAATAACGACTGAGTCAAATTAAAGAGAAGAGGCACTGACTAAAGTGTCAGTGTATCATGAAAATGATTCATCTGGAAAACCTTACATATAACTATACAAGTAGTTTGGATAAGTAGGAATGGGGTTAGATGGCTATGTGCATGTCTACTTGTCACAGTATAAATGACTCAAGTAAAGAAGGTCAACACCTGAACCTAGCAGCAAAGAATATAAATACTGTTGCAAAAGCATAGTGCATGAATGGTGTAGTTCGCATATAAGGTTCCTAACCCTTAATGCAGTTTCCCTATTTCCTTCCGGAGCTTTCGGCAATATTGTTCTTTCTGCATTAATGGCTTGTACAATTCCCCTATCTCCCAATCTTTCAGATACAGTGGCAGCTAATTCCACTCCTCCATAACCGCACCCTACCACTGTAACACGTATAGGAGAATCCTTGGAAAAGTTTCTACGCTCGAGGTCTCTTAGCTTTTCATCAGCTTTCTGCATAAGGATAATACATATTCAAAGAGGTGGTTACTAATTTGGCATTAAAGCGGAAGATTGCAAATTATTAGAGCATATATGAATCTCTAATTATTATCCATTTATCCTCATACTGACAAGAGCATCCTCTAGGGTATAAAATGGTAATGCATATTTGGCAGCTCCTGGTACAATATCAAGTTTCGCTTCAGCTCCTAATGCCAGAACCAACCTGGCTGCCCAAATTTAAAAGATGTAAAAATTATGAAAGCATTTCAAAGTAAAATAAACAAAAGGTTCAAATTCAATATAATTCATTAATTACAAAAAGATACTCCATCCATCTAATTTTGTTTGATGTACTTAACTTTTGGATTGTCCAAAAAATATAAACACCTTCCTAAATTAAATCCACTTACATTCCTTAATCTATCAATTCACCTTTTTACTTCTTGTGGACCCATCCTACTTATTCTTAATTTTTGGAAATTAGAATTGTAAAACAACATCTTTATCCTTTATTTTCTTAACCCCCCAACCCAAATGTATATTACGTTATGGGAGTATGGGAAAGAATATTAAATAGCTTGACTTGTGTTCATCCATTGTTATAGGAAATCGGAAGGATGCCAAAAAGATTACAAGCCAATCATTGTCAGATCCATAGCAATGAACTGTTTGTTTGATAGAGAGAGATTGAGGACTTCTGACAGAGAAAATCCATTGTCTGTGACTCTGTGGTAATTATATTGACAGTTCATCCATTTATATATGCTTCATTACATGACGCAGATATGGTTGCTCTGGTGGAAAGGCTCCTTTTGGGAATGCACACTATGCAACACTTTTATCAGCCAAAGCAAAATACCCCAATAAGAAATTGTGAATGGAGGAAAAATCTTTTAGAGATATCCAGGAACCAAAGATCTGGCAGTAAAGATGGAAAGGGACAAAAAATGTATCATATGCGCTATGTTCTTAAACTCTAACCTCTTTGAAAATGAAAATTAGAAGATGAAAAGTAATGTAATACAATAACCTAAACTCTAAATGATTAGAATCAGTAGACTGTCCGGAAACTGAAACTATGCCCCTAATTCTATAAGTCCCTTATGCACAAATATTGCCAACAAGAAATGCAATTTATATTACAATTATGATTTTTCTAAGGTTGTGTGATTTTCTTTTGCTGATAATATGATGCTTGGCAGGATACATCGAAGTTCATGGAAGCATGAAAGGAATGGCACAGCAGATTAATTCATACAAATTGTTGTTTAGTCATGAAATTAGCTTGAATTTGGTCATATTTAAGGAAAAAAACCCTTATTATTATTATTATTCAAGTCAAAGAGTTGTCTTCATTGTTATTATCTTTGTTAGTAGTCAAAATTGTTCCTATTTCATGCAATTAGCTGTTCCCAAGTACAGTAAATAAACGGGTTGGTATTAGTGTATTACAAATAAGAGCAACAAGTTGAGTTTGGAAAATGAGAATTTGAGAGATGATGAACTCATTTGAGATCTTCATGGATTACAGTCCACTCTTAAGTCATAACACTAGGTCACTATTACTCCTTTCTAAATTCACTGCGACACTCGATTTCATCATTTATAAGCAATCATAAAAAAGTTTAGGTGTTCTCAGACTCCTTCACGTAGTGTTACTAATGTTCATAGGCCTGTGGCGTTGCTCCAATATGCTCAGTTTGTATCATTATGATTAACCACTTTTACTCGGAAATTATGAAAATGGCATTCTTGCAACAATTACTGAAGAGAGAGACATCCCGGTGCTAAAACAGTCTCCAATAAGATCAAAACTGATGAGATGCTTGGAGTTGATTATAAATGAAAACCCACTTTTAGATCTCATGGTAAATGGTTGTTCCCAACTACTCCCTCCGTATCAGTTTTATTGTCCCATTAGGGTTTTGTAGTAGTTTAAGAAAATTTATAGGTTTACTGTACACTTGTTGAAAAAGTAGGAGTTTTTTGGGTACTATAGCAACACTGTAGCGGTACTGTAGTTGCACTTAGTTGCACTGTAGCAGTACTGTAGCTGCTTTTTGAGTGGATTTATTTGCAAAAATAGAAGTGAGACAATCATTTTGATACACCCAAAAAGGGAAAGTAGGAATATAAAAGTGATACGGAGGGAGTATATTTTAAGAAATATGAATTGAATTAACTCTTACTTGAGTAACATTGTTGAGGACCTGGGATCAATCACCATTTCTAGTGTTGTTCCAGGCATCCTAAAATGCTGAACCAAAATGATTTTGGCAAGAATATAATTTAACATACCAATCATATTCAATAGCAAGGCCACTTTCAAGATGAACAGTTCCTCCAGGGCCAGATAGTGTAGGCATATTTTTCAGTAAATGGTCACGTGGATGTAGGCATTTGACCCTGTCTCTGTGGAATTGCACGTTTGTGTTTGCAAGCACTTCAGAAAATAGTGGTGCAATCTCCCACATGTCTACTTCTGCATTTTTATTTCAAAAACAGCAGTAATAATGAAGACAATGCACTCAAGATTTAATACTGCAAAATAACTGCACTTGATTAATGGCTAACCTATTGCATACCTCCAGAGAGAAGTTCATATAGCATGGGCTTGAAAACAAATCGTTCACATTGATCAACGAGGATAACCTGCAGGGTTGTCAAAAATGTAATCTCAGAATATGAATGAACAAATATGAAATCATGCTTCAAAACTACTAATAATCCCTGTTGATGTAGAAGAGATAACATGCATTTGATGAACCATCTTCATGTGAATGTTGAATAAAATAATGAAAATAGTTAGCAACACCTGAGTATACGCTTAAAATTTTAAAACTTACCTGGGGCTTTTTGTCATCCCTCCAAACAAGGGATTCCAATCTCAGTGCTGTGTAAAGTCCTCCAAATCCACCACCAAGTATGCAAACCCTTGGCCTCTGCAGATCACAGACATAGAAGCTTAAGTTGAAAAATCTAATTGATTTTTTTGACAGCTTAAATCTACTAGACTTTAAGAGCCACTGCAAACATGTTTTGGTCAGTAAGATAGAAACAGCCTTAGCCCAGAAGAGTTCCAGTTTGCAAGAGCTGTAAGGATTAAAACCAAAAAGTGTACTTGACGCAGTACACATGTAATTACCAACTATAATACCCTAATTCTCTCCGCCCCCCCCCCCCCCCCCACCCACACATGTATATATCGATTATATAATGACAGCAGTCTCCATCTCACTCTCTTTTGTGCACCCTCCATCTCACTCTCTTTTATGCACACTCCAGAAAAAGCTGACATGCAGGCATGCAGCACAGAAAAGGCAAAATCAACTGCCTTGCATGCATAGAAATATGGTTTTACACAAGTGTTTTATGCCCCAGTCAACTCTAAGCAATGACTTGGATGGAACCACACTCTCTTCTCTCACACAACTGTCCTGGTTCTGGAGGGGGATGGGGTGTTTTTTAGATGTATGGTTTCACATGAAGTAAGGAACAGCACAATTTTCATTTTTATTATTGACGCTAATCCTATAAAAAGTGCAATAATGTAAAACCATAAAAGGTTGCATGTAAGGTAAATAGGTAATTCTCTAGTTTGGCCTTTCTAGAACCGTGTATCAAGATTCTGTGGCGTGTGCATAGATGAGGTTGAAATAAGAGTGTACTAAGCATCGCTCATATAACCCTTTGTTTGAAACCACTTATACTTAAATAAAAGCGCTTTTTGGGAAAAGTTGGTAGTGTTTGATAAAATAAGTATTTTTTGTGTAATAAAAAAGTAAAAAGTAGATTCTACACGAAAACTGAGATAGTAAAAGTTGGTAATGTTTGATAAAATAAGTGTTTTTTTTCTTAACAAAAAAAAGTCATAAGAACTTATCAACGAAACCTAAGTGATACAGAGTAATTAGCACTGTCTTCGAATCCCTGCTATTTGGGTTAAATTGGTGCATTTAAAAAAGAGGAGATGGAAAGAGGGGATTTTCTGAATGACCTTTTCATCTGGCCATTTATACATAAGAGTTTGGGAAGCGTCACTTCCACTAATTTCAACATTGCTCCCATTTCCTCCACCCGCATCAGCTTTGACCCGGAATGAGCCGCCCCGGGTTGCGATGCTACCACTAGAAGCAGTACTAAAGCTTCCACTCCGAACACTAGTACTCCGCCGACGGCTCCCTAGTTGCATCAGAATCGGCGATTGCACATTCGGAAGATTTCCTGAGATTGATATAAAATGAGTGTAAATGCATCCATTACGCAATGCTGCGTAGCATGTGAGCGAAACTAGACAGCTTACGGGCGTTGAAGCTAAGAAGTGGTGTTGAGGCTGAAGCAAAAGATGGTGATATCGCTGCGATGGCAGACTGGGGAGTCATTGCTTGTGCTCCTGGCGATGGTGGTAAGGTGAAAGATCCGAATTCAGAAGGCGTATGGTTCCTGGAGGACCAGAAAGTATCGAAACATAAACAACGAGTTCCGGTGGCTATCTGGCCTCCTCACATTCCAAGTGGTACCCAGGTCCGACAAATTTGAAACTCAGTTAAGTAAAGCTAAGGTTAAAGTTATTTTTATATTGACTTGATTAGAATTACTACTATTTTAATTATTTTATATAGTTCTTTTATTTTATTAATAAAATATATTTTAGATATATATTTTCATAATTTAACACATTCAACAACTTCAACAATAATTTCATGAATTTCAACGGATTTAGTCACTTCAACCAACTTCAATATTACTAAATGGACTCCTAACAACAAAAGTTCAAAAAAAAAATGTCAAAGCTAAGCTAAAATTTCACTCATGATTATTATGTTGTGTGTTGAAGCTATTTTCTTGCAGCTTAATTTGAGTAAGATTTCCCTTCTTTTATCACATATTCTTTTACAAGTTTTTTTCTTCATCCCGCAATAAAGCTACTAATTTAATTTAATACTCTTTCTCTCTTGCAATATAAAAGGTCTTCGTTCCATTTTGCTCCGCCCCTTATTAATGTCCCCTTTTCCCGTTTAGAAATAAAATACAAATGCTATATGCAATTTCTAGGGCCGTTTTCACGGCAATCGGCAATCGGCAATCGACGAGGGGCATCCTCGCTTCTCATCACCAAGGCAGGCGAGCTTGACAACGAAGCTAGTTTCTTTTTACAGCAGTTCATCACGGAGGTCTGGGCTTCTACTCCGACGAGCGACATGGAAGATGGACACAACGCAGAAGGAATGGAGGCACTGGCAAACACATATGGGCAGTTGGAGTTGGAAGAAGATGATGAGGTCCTCGTTGTCAAGCCTGCGGCGCAAAACTCTTCTAAATACAACTTGGCCCTGATCGGAACTATTACATCAGAAAAGTCGGTACGTTTTGTCTCAGTTTAGAGATATCATGGCGTCTGTGTGGAAACCCGAAAAGGGTGTTACTATAACTGAAATTGGCCCTAGGAGGTATGTCTTTCAATTTTATAAAGAGGAAGATATGAATAGGGTAGCAGATGAGGGACCGTGGGTATTTGATCAAAACCTAATTGTGTTGAGTAGACTTAAAGAGGGTGATATTCCTATATCTGTCCCTTTGAACAAAGCTGATTTCTGGGTTCAAGTTCATGAAATCCCAGTGGGATATTTCTGTTTAGATAATGTGGAACGTATTGGAAACTTTTTGGGGAATTTTATAAAAGCTGATGAAAATAATTTCTCCGAGAATTGGGAGTCCTTTATGAGAATTTGGGTTCGTATTGATCTGGAAAAACCCCTGAAAAGAAAGTTATTTTTGCAAAAAAAGAGGAAGGAGTTAGTTTCCGAGTCAGATTTTGTTACGAGAAACTGCCAAGCTTCTGTTTCTTGTGTGGAATAATAGGCCACGCCGAGAGTTATTGTCCTCGTAAGAGGAGGGATTCCGAGGGAACTGGTGAAAGACCTTTCGGGCCTTGGCTTAGGGCAGCAAAAGGAACAAAGCAATGGAAGGAGAACACATGGCTTGTCCCAGCAGGTAAAGGAAACTCCTTGAGTAGCCAGACTAATGGCGGAAATAGGGAGGGTGTTATGCGTTCAAGCGTCCTAGAAGGTGGGCCCTCTCCAAAAAAAGAGAGAGGGAACCTCGAGCAGAAGCGCAGACGGGTGGAGGAGTTAGACGGTTACCAGATGGGGGAGGAGATGGAGCTCGGCAATGCAGGGGGGGGGGGGACGGAGAGGAGGCGAGCTACAAGTTTGTGGCTCGCCAGGCACATAACTGACAGATAGCCTGTCAAAGCACGGAGGAATTAATAAGGCAGGAGGCCATGAAGACTTTTATTATTTTTATGCTTTTTACGTTTCGTTGAATCATGTTGCTTTTATTTCTATTCTGAACTTTAGAGGTAGGTGGATGCTTTGTTTTTTATTTTTTGCTCAGGACTTTTATGTGGGTGGAAGCGATAAGGCTAGTTTGGCCGTTAAAAGCTTTGAAGATCTCACATGGTCCGCGAATAGTCTCGCTCCTTTCGGGGTGGTCTATTCTATGTCTAGCCAGAGAGTGGGAGGGCCTTTTGGCTATGCGGAGCCTCATGAGGAGGTTTGGCGATGTTCGGTTGGATGTACTTGGAGAAGTTTGGTTGCTATTATAATATAATTAGTTTCCTTTAAAAAAAATGCAAATGCATTTACATTCTTACCCTCATTTATTTTCTACATCTATTAACCTTACCATATCATTTACTTACCACCCACCCCATTTACTTACTCATTTCCCATTTAATGCATCTGCCGCCCACCCCAACCTCTTCGTATTCCTCATTCTTCGTTTACTCCACCCACCCACACATCTCCATCTCTTCGTATACCCCCTCGACTTATCATATCTCTCATACCTTATATCCATTGCAAATCCAGGTGCTACGGACGAACTCGAAGAGAAATGGTTGGTAGATGCAGAGGTGGACACCATCATTTTTCCGAACTCCGAATCCTTCACCTTTGATTGAATCCCCGATTGGCCCGTCGTCGTCGGATGGAACCCTGATTATCCATGATGAGCAAGACTCTTTGGTGTCTCTTGCATATCTGATCGTCCCCAACTCTGAAGATGAATTTGATGAAAATGTTATTGCATGTTATGTGATTGACCCTGAGACAGTGCTCCTTGATGCGCATATGCGAAATTATGAGCATCGTGACATGCAAGTACATTTTCATATGTGGTTTTCCCTTGTGATCCCTGATTATGTCCCTAAGAAATAAAGGTGGTCACATTCCCCGTACTTGTATGCTTACCTTACTTGCTCTGAGCCTAGGAGGATTAGGTAAAGTGTGATTTATGCATGCAGTCAGAGGTCAATGATTGGCTTGTGATCTGTGTTTGTGCTTCGTATGAGTCCTCAGGTCAGTGTGTGCATAATGGTGAGTGTGTGATGTTTGGATGAGGTCAATGATTGGACTTTCATATGTGTTTGTGCTTGGTATGAGGCCTCAAGCTAGTCTTTGCATATTCACCCTTGTGTGTGTGTTTTGTCTGAGGTCAATGATTGGACTGTGATCAATGTTTGTGGTTGGTATGAGGCCTCAAACCAGTGTGTGCATAATGGTGAGTGTGTGATGCCTGTATGAGGTCAATGATTGGACTGTCATTTGTGTCCGGGCTTGGTATGAGACCTCAGGCTAGTGTGTACATAATGGTGTGTGGTGCTTGTGTGAGGTTAATGATTGGGCTATCATCCTTATGTGTGATGCTTTTCTGTTGGTTCCAGTCCTAATGAGTCACCAGGGGAAACCATAGGAGACCATGGGGGATGTGTGGAAAGCAATGTCTTCAATGATAAAATGCACGCGTATGTTTTTTTATTTCTGTCATTGGTCTATGATGGTAATGTGTGCTTCCTAATTGGCTTTATCCCTACTAAGTCACCAGGGGAAACCCTAAGAGACCATGGGGGATGTGTGGCAAGCATTAGTGCAATGTGCAACAAAGCATTTGTTGCATTAGTAAAATAGATGTTGCATTAGTGTCATTTGTCTAGGTATCCAACAAAGCATATTTGTTGAGGCTTATTATTCGGGCCTACTACTAGTTAGGTGCCCAAGGCATTACCCCAGTGCGGAGCCTGATCAGTTAGGCCCCATTTGAACCCGTTTCGACCCACTCGCCCCATAAAGACCCTTTTGGCCCATAAGGGTAGTTTTGCAACCCCTCCCTTTTTCCTAATTAAAGGAGGTCTCCTTTCATGTTTTGGGATCTTTTTGCACATTGTGAATGGTGAGGAGAGCATAATGAGAATGAGAGTGGTTTGGACATTAACACAAAAAGTCTCGTGGTTCTCTCCCTTTCGGGTTTACACGTTAAAAGAACTTGTTCATACACATTTATATTTATATTTACTATTTCGTGTTGGATTAAACTCAACAATATCCAAGAAAGCATGTCCAAATAAACGTATTCTCCCCACTTTTTCAAAGATCTATCCAAAAAGCTATCCATGACTTCCAATTGTCTATGTATCCATTTTTGAATGGCTTGAACATGTCAAGTATTCCAAAAAGTAAAAAATGTGAATACATGTTCAGTCCCCTAAAACACTGCTGCATTATTTTTTTCAATCCACACTTCATTCTCCTAATTCATTTATGACTTCAAGGAATGAACTTATGTCTGCCTTGAATGAGCTTGGTGGTAACCTCGAGCTTTCACTGCAATTTTTCCTACGTGTGGCACCTTGTGGTTATTGCCCTCTTCACTTTTAGAATTGAATTCAAACACAACTGTAGGGTCAACTAAACATGATTCAATGCAATTAGATTAAACTCAGCATAAGCATTCTACACTTTCCACTCCCTATCTGAGGTCATGAACTGAGTTCCTAGGTGTGGTCTGTTGATGTGACTAAATAATTAAAAAAAGAGTTTTTTACAAGAATATTACTAAAATAAAACATATTTACATAAATATGATTATTCATTACTACAACATAGTGTTGTGGTCACTTAGGTTCAAAACTTGAACATGAATTACTATAATTTCATTACTATTCTAGTAACTAGTCATATTTTTGTAAACCATCTTTATTTTAGTCATATTTATGTAATTATTTCTTAAAAAAATACCCTAGATCCAACACATTTATATCAGGGTTATTAGGAGACTAGCAGATTAATTTAATGTTAACTCCATCTGAAGTGACTTCTTTCATGAAGTCAATGTCAGTTGGACTAATATGGGGTCTTGCATTGTTTTGTTGTATGTAAATATGCTTGCTCATACCTCTAGGCTACTTAGCTTTGATAGCAGGCAATAAAAAACTGAGAAGTCATTCCTTGTAAACATCCTTTGTGACGGAAACAATTGCTTTCTCCTCAAGTGTGCCAACTTCTCCATTTTTTACTTTTTCTCTTTGCTGGTTTTCATTTTATTGAATGAGAATATTCCAATTTTCCCATAAAAAATAACATCACCATTTGCATGTATAATTGGTTTGTCAACCTCACACAGAAACATCATTTCAGTGATGAATATTGTAGATTGACATATCATATGAGGCTCAGCCTCATTCGGATGGAGGCTCAACCTCATCCAAATGGAGTGTAGTAAGAATAAATAAATAAATAAATAAATAAATAAATAAATAAATAAATAAATAAATAAATAAATAAATAAATAAATAAATAAATAAATAAATAAATAAATAAATAAATAAATAAATAAATAAATAAATAAATAAATAAATAAATAAGACATGATCAGATAACGTGAAATAAATTTGAGATGTTTTTACCATATTCTAAAACCTATTTGACCCTATGCCTAGCTATAATGGTATCCTATAAAAATACCCAAATAAATATGTGTTGTCTGAATCTGAAAGCATGTAATATATTCCTAAAAGATATAACGGTGGTTGACAGAAGAAAAACTTAACTTAATGAAAGATGATTCACTGATAAGTCGTTAGGCACTTGGGCAACAAGCACAACAATCAAATATAGGCACACCAAAAATAACGACCAATCCAACCAGCAGGTTAGACGGGTAATATGAACCATGACCTAATGTAAATTCTAGTTTAGCCCAAAAAGCACAATAGGCTCATGGACGGCTCTAGAAGCCATGCCATTGTTTCAAGGAAAGATATAGACGCATAATATATAGGTGATGCTATTGTGTGACTTAATTTAACCAACCCAACAAATAAATAATTGTCACACCAAAATAGTTACTAGAAATATGATTACACTGTGTTTTGTCCAAATGGAAGTTTATTATTCACAACTTTGAATTCCGTGTACATTGTTAGTGCACGGGCCTATAAACCAATACATCCCACTATGTTTTGAATAATTTAGCATATGTTCAATACACAGGCCTGGCCTATAAACCAAATCAAAAGCAAGATGAAAAATGAACAGTGTTCCCGCCCAAAGAGATGGGCCAAATACGGGTCGGGCTGCAGAAAACGGGTTTGGGTTGTATGCTGATCAAAAGTACAATTCATTAAATGCTGCATTCATTGATGAGTTGCTACACCGATATCCCTGCACTTTAGTCCAATGAATATTAGGTAGAAAGTGTATATGAGCTGTCCATGGGTGGCGGAGATCAAGGTAAATCTACTTTAGTGAGATTGTGTGGTACGAAATTATTGAGCCATGTGCCTGTCCATTCAAATATCATGTCAGTAATATTAAAAAGCCAATGCATCCTATTGACCGATGGCCAATGTTATACAAATGCAAAGTAGTTTTAGATTCGTAGTATATATATATGTGTGTGTTTTTTCATTAGTGGGCATCCAATGAGTGAGTATGAATATTGTAGTATAAATATGTCCAACAATGGAAGGGCTATGTATGAGGTAGAGCATTTTAGGAGGGAGAGCCAACATCAGTTCTTTTCATCCATGACAGGTATATCATGTCATAAACTTTTTTGAAAAATTATATAGATCAAAACAGTGTTTGAAGTGGTGTTTATTTAAGCTTAATAATCTCCAAAATCAATATGAGATCATGCCATTGTGTATTAAAATGCAGGCTAAAAGTACTCCTCAAGAACAAAACAAAGAAAAAAGTACTAGCTGCTATTGACCTCTTAATGCAGGAGTATTAATCAGTTTTCGCTTAGCACTGATCATTTATCAATACAAAATGTGATAAGCGACTTTTTATTGTCATGTATCATGTGTTATGTATCCTATGTTATGATGTTCTATTTCTTTCAAAAAAGATGTTATACTATTTTATTAATGCATGTCTAACTCATGGGTAATTTATCTTATTACTTTTCTGCTAAAAATTGTTGAGCAAGTGAATTAGTGATGGGCAATTTTCTTTTGCAGGTTACATATGCTAAAAAAACTGGGAAACCTGTGAGTGCTAGAATCAGCAACTAAACGAGAGGGGCTAATTAGAACCAAGGGTTTATTTCATGAATGAAAAACAAGTTTATTTCATAAAATTCAGAGCTATCACATGTTTTTGTAGCAAGTAAAGGTTACTGAAATAACAGAATGATAATCGGAAATGAGATTCATAACTGCCTTTGAAACTGCACAGTCTTTGAACCTGGATATCCTATATATATTAATCTAATTAATATTTACATTTTCCTATGAATATTGCATGATTGGCAACCATATTAAGGACCCAAAACCTGTTAATTCTGCATTGTATATACAATAACCTAATAACTAAAAATAAGAAAAAGACATCTAGATCCGCCAACAAACCCTGCAAGATTAATGGTGAATGAGATTCCGGAATAAGAAAATATTAATACCAATATTATGGAATAAAAATATTTTTTTTCTATATTTGAAAAAACATTATGAGCATTACGAAAAGCACCAAAATGAAGTGTGGCTGATATGAGCATGTGTGTACAAATCAGATAACCAATTTAGATACAATTCACTGTAAAAGACAAAATAAAATCAGAAATTAGATAAGAATTGTAATAAATACAATAAAAATATCACAAATTAAAATAGATACACAAAGTAAACATATACTACATTAATTATAGGAATAGGGTTGAGTTCAAAGTCATTATGTTTAAAGTATGATTCTGATTAGCAGAACCCAAATGAGTTTAACAATATTTAACAAACAATAGATTTTGAAGTGCTCTTTCGCAAGTTAGAGAAGTAAACAACATTTTGATTTTGTAAATAAGATTACACCCCATGACATTGAAATATTTTTGTTGGCCTTGATAAAGAAGACCTGGTATTTGATGTTTTACTTAGCAGGGCTGTCAAGTAGGACCAACTAAGTTTAATGCAAATCATAAAGAAATATGAATAATTTATATATGTGCGTGTGTTTGTACCAAAATCAAAAGAGAAGTAAAGATCATAGCGATGAACAGAATATGATAATATCATTTTGTAAAATAGAAATATATAATAGATTTAGTAAAATATAAGCACAAAGTATTATAATGGATATAAGAAAATCGGAATATATATATATATATATATATATATATATATATATATATATATAGACACACACATCACAATCTCGAGTCATACATACAAAATCAAAACTGATACAAATATAGTAAGTGATATAGATGCAAAAAATCAAATTAAAGGAAGGAGATGTAAGGAATATACCCATCGATCTGCTCTAAGCCACCACCAACATTCAGAAGTTCGGGTAAGGGGTAGATCCCATAATAAATAGCAGTCACAACATTATTGAACCACCGAAATAGTCAGATAGGAGGAAAATTATCAACGATGATAAACAATAAAAAAGGCTTTGAGAAGAAATCACAGTGAGAAGTAACGAGACCATAGCAACTTGCGCTAAGAGAGGTTATCGGATGGTCTGAAGATTCTTTAGATTGGTTGTACGGATGAAATAAAGTGGCTGATGGAAAATGTAATCTTATACTCCGTCGAATGTATAGCTTAGGGTTTAAAATGGGTCAGTGTAAATGGTGAGTGTTGGTGGGCAGTGGGCTGAGCTGGGCTCATATGGGCTGATAAGGTCTGGATTGATAACAGACGGAGTATTAATTATTATTGCTAATAAGTTTAAAATGCATATATATTGTAATAAAAATAGAGGTATTGTGTAAAATGCATATATATTGTAATAAAAATGGGGGTATTGACAATTTGTATTTATTTTTGGGAAAATGGAAACTAATAATCCAACCTTTTAGCGGTCTTCTTACAATAATCCAACCTTTTGGTTATTCATGAATAATCCAACTTTTGTACCTCATCTTCATTCATTGGTCCCTGACCGGTTGATGACCTGCTATTCCAAGCTATTTTCTTATCTTTGCAAATCATTATACCATAAATCTCATCTTTCACAAAGATAATATTTTGCAAATATAAGAAAATAACTCGCAATAGTAGGTCATTAACCGACCAGGGCTCAATGAATGAAGATGAGATGCAAAGGTTGGATTATTCATGAATAATCAAAAGGTGGGATTATTGAAAGAAGACCGCTAAAAGGTTGGATTATTAATTTCCATTTTCCCTTTATTTTTATCAAATAAAAAATTATTTGCAATTATTTATGTTGTTATTTAAAAGTGCATGTCCTGAATTGTGTAAAAAGGTGTTTAAAATTTGATGCTAAAAATATTTGTGGGAAAATTATGGGTTCAGAATTTCTTAAAAATTAAAAAAAAGGTTTTATTTGTGGAAAAACTCAGAACCGGTTTTTTCCGGGTTTACGGGGGGTTTGGCGTCCGGGTCCAGACCGGGTTTTTGCGGGTCAATCGGGGTTTTTCCGGGTTTTAACTAATCGAACAAGACTTTGACCCGAGTTGACCCGACCAGTTCGGGTCAGTTTTTTAAACACAACTAATAGTATTAACAAATCATTTTATATAATAATTACTTAATATATGTCCCGTGCATCGCACGGGTGAGAATCTAGTTACTAGTACAATGCTAACAAATGACACACTGATAAGACATATAATAGTACAAGAATAACTAACGTCATTATATGGGTGGATCCAAAAATTTGGATTGTGGTGGTGGGCTGAAGAGTGACTATAGCATAATTAAAGCAATATCGGATGGACTCAATAAGAAAAATGAAAAAAGTACGCTACAAAATTGAAGGAAAAAGTAGGTTACCCTAGACTGCATCCCACCATCCACCATAGCCACAATATAGATCGAACCCAACCTAGTGAGGTACAAGATATTCATGTTTAGTTTCAATCAATAGCATAAGTAAGTGTCTCCACTTCATCGGGGCGCCAAATTGTCTTTTTTACACATAGCAGTCCTTCCTTGTCCCTCGAATACAACATTCGAATCTCATAGTGCATTGACTTTAACATAGTTTGCAACTCGCCTATAACAATCAAACTGTCACGAACTATGAGTTTTCCATCTGGTCTCAGAATCCTATCAACCTCTGCCACTAATGCCGGTAGGCCACACCTGCAAGTTCCCCATCGCCATAGGGAGGAAATATTATTTAAGGAAAAGACATATGCTTTTAGTGTTGAGTATTTGTATTTAGGTAATGGATGAATACTTTGTTTTAATTTTGGAGAAGAGGTGATCAGCATGGAGAAGATCATAAGATCTAGGGTATGTGCTGAATGATTCACACCAGTCATGGTAAATTCCAAAAAGGCCCCTCTCATAAATTATGGGTAGCGTGTCAGGGGCATCTACAGAAATAATGTTCATAACCCATACATTCAACTCCTTCAAAGCTGCAGCAAATCTGCGTATGGCACAACAATGGTCAAAGTAATTTATAGAAATTTTCAGTAAAATATATCACGCAGATAACATCTAAGCTGTTAGATTTTATAAAACCCAAATTATCTTTTCCCACCATGCATGCAAAGGGTAAGGGTTAATGGTGCCAATGTAGCTTGTTAGACCTCTGTCCATCTCAAATTCCAAAAAAGAACTTTGAAAATTACTGCATAAACTTAATGCAATTTTTTCCTCAAAAAAAATCTTTGCAAGGGTCCGACAAAATTTAAATGTCTGGCCATGCCATTGTGCACGCATGTGGAAGATCTTTACCTTCTAAGAATCCTTTAAAAAGCATTTCCTATTCAAGAGCTGGTGCATTCAATGAAATACATAATTACATATGTATGTAGCAAAATTAATAAATTGATTGATTACCCTCCATAGATGGCACGCATGTCCATGACATTTCGCACACTAGACCAATCAATGCCCATTCCATTGAGGTAAGTTTTGGTTACCACTCGCTTCCAATGTTGATAATCGACAACAAAATCCTCCGATGCTGGTTTTCCATACACCCCTACTTGGGAATTCTGTAACCAATAAGGAGATTTTACCAACCTCCCGGGCCACACTTCTGGCCACTTAGACCCTCGTTCTAGTGGACCCATGGGCACTTTGTGCATGCAAGCTTGTAAAGGCACATTCCTATTTTTGACGAAATTACTTTATGAGAGCTTTGAAAATAATGCACCACATATTCTCTCAATATGAGTGTTGCCAAATACAGTGACAGTAAAACCATTCTTTAAAGAAACGACAATAAAAAAAGTCCATTTTATGTACCAGGATGCATCAGGATCATCAGATTCTTGACAGAGTGGAGGCTCAGCCTGTGATCTATGTTCATAACACTCATTGGAAGTAGGCTTTCTGTACATAGCAATGCCTATATTATCAACTTTGTCCTTGGTAATTGAAACTAAGTCCCAACACATTGACTTGGTAAGATTCGTCATCGCTGCATGCCAATATTCCCAATATAAAAAAACTTAGTTCTTGAAATCTCTAAATATGATTAATTACTGACATTCTTGGAAAATAGTGTCAATTATAGCAGTAATACTACCATATTACAGCTAGTTGCCAAAATTCAATAGTGAAATTTCAAAATAGGAGTAAGTTACTCCTATTTATAGAAAAACATTATGCTCCTATTTTGGAATTTTACATTGTTTTTTACTCATGTCGAAAATTTTCCACCACCACCACCACCATCATCATCATCATCATCAATAGGACAATATAGTAATTATTGCAATAAATTCATCAATGGATTGATTGGATTCATCCTTGCCTACCTTCCCAAATCGCAACATCCTCTGGAACCTTTCTGTAGACTGGGGTAGCAGACCACACAAAGAAACCACCCGGGCGGAGCAGACGATTCAGTTCTAGGAGAAGCTTCCCGCCTATACATATAATGCCAACTAATTTTAGGACGTAAAAATGCTAATCTTGAAGCAAACATAAAGCTTACCATGTTCATATATATAACATAGTACATGTGAGAGACACTAGGAGATAATTATGTTTTATCTTTACGAAGTGTGCTTGTAATGTGTACGATAAGCAAAGTTAGCATCACGTTTATTTATGCATGAAATTTTCAAAGGAAAAAGGTGTAAAAAGAACACCCCTCCATGGCAAGTTTTAGAGAGAAAAATTGTTATCAAACATCAACCACTTTAGGGTAAGTTTGTATCCGGGGGGGATTCTAGGAAAAGAAAAACCCAAAAAGATTGTTCATAAAAGTTAATTTCTTCAATTTGGTTTTATATTGGAAAATTCAAAGGAAAATGACATATGATATTTTTTTACATAAATTACCCTACTGAGGAATGAAAATAATGTGAAATTACAAAATGTGAGTACCATCTTTTTACCTATAAAAGAGTATTTAGTGTTATGTATGGAAAGTACTGTCTATTATGGCATTAATACTGTCATATTAATGTTTGCTAATGCCAAAATATGGTAGTGTGATTTGAGAATAACTTTAGTTTATTTCTTAGGAAAATATGTCTTAGGAAAAAACATATTACTCTTTTTCGGAATTTCACATTGTTTTACTCTTGTTTTTTTTATTTTTAAATGAGTATCAAGAACAGAGCCGGCCATGAGGGGAGTTGCCCTAGGCGAGTGCCCAAGGCATCCATTTTGTTCAGGGCCTCAGTTTTAAAGTTAGTTAGTATTATTATTTCTCCTAAAATAAAATAAGCTACTCCCTCCGTATTTGTTTTTCCTTTTTGGGTCCTATATAAATTAATCTTTCCATCCTTTTTGATAAAATGAAAATATGATTTAATTTGTAATAAAGGGACATAATTCTTTATATAGCTGTTACTGCCTCCGTCCTGCTAAAATTGTCTCATCTTTCCGTTTTGATCCGTCCGACTAAGATTGTCTCATACTAATTTTGAAAAAATTTGCGTGATTTTAATCATTCTTACTTTATTTTATCAATTCAATATCAACCACATACACATACTTTTATCAATTCATTATCAACCACCTCCCCATGTCTCAATGTTAGTGAAACAAAAGATGATATTATTTAAAAAAGGTTAAATGTAGTATGTCTCCGAAACATGGAAAAAGGATTCTGCTAAAATTTATGAAGTTCTGGCTGAAGTGGCTGCATTGTTTGATTTATGAAAAAATTATATTTAAAATATAATTATTAATGTAATAAAGGAAAAAATATACGCAATATGAAAAAATAGTTAAAATGATATTATACTGTAACTTAAGCCAATACAGCAAAAAAAGTAACTTCAACCTTACCTTTTCTTATTATTACACAATTAATCGCGCGAAATCACAAGTTACGTGTTTGGTGAAAAAATTGGTCGATAAGCCTAATAACCCGGAACAGTAAAGTATATTTAACACAATGATGTAGGTATGATGTATTTTTTATAGAAAATATGTTACTCCTTCCGTCTCATTGGACTTTGCTAACGTTTTATTTTTGTTTGTCTCAAAAACTTTGCCACATTCCTTACAAAGTAACCAATCTATGCACAAATATCGACCATATGATTTTTACTATTCTCATTCCACTCTCAAATGAAAGTGTACGTGCAATGTTGAGTGGAACATGGTGATTTTTTTTAAATTCCTTGTCTAGGGTATAAGTACAAAAAAGCTTTGAGCCTTAACTTATCTTCGATTTCCCCTCGCAATTTCTTAGCTTTTCTACTATTTTCTGTTAATGGTATATGTGAGGTTCAACCCTTAGAATATCAAAAGAACATTAACTCCTTACTTACCACCATTATCCTTCTCTATCTATTAATGTTATATACTATCCATCAGCCCATTCTATGTGTCTTACTTTGGTTAGAACAATTATTAATAACGTAGTTCAAAAAGTAAAACATGTGGTTGAGATTTAAGTATAATAAAGCGAAATGATGTAGACCATATATTTCTTTCCAAAAAAAGGAAATGTAATACTTATTTTGGGACAACCGAAAAAGGAAATTAAGATAGTTAAAACTTTGCCAAGTTTGACCGGAATGAAGATTAATAAAGTAAAAATTGTGTGATAGAGGTTTGTGCAGAGGTGAGAGAATTAATTGGAACCGCAAATTCTTTGCTTAAAAGGGAAAGTGACAAAGTTAGTGGAACAGCTAAAAAAGAAAAGTTGACAAAGTTTTAAGGGACATAGGGAGTATTAAATATTGATAATAAAAAATTGTTGAAGCATTTTTACCTTGACTATGGAAAACTATTACCTCCGTCCCGCTAAGATTGGTACAAGAGGAGGAGATGCGGTTATTAAAAAAGAGAATTTATGTGGTTGATATTGAATTGATAAAGCAAGAATAAAATAAAAACAATCTAGAACCACATAAACATTACCAAATTTGGTATAGAACAACCTTAGTGGGACAGATTAAAAAGGAATGATGGAATAATCTTAGCAAGATGGAGGGCGTAATTACTTTCTTAATATGTGTGGAAGGAATGATGCACCTAGAATGACAGTTAAAGAGAACAAATGGAACAGAAAATGAAATACCTTCAATATGCCATGGTACCCTACACCGTGCACAATGGACAACATCAAAGACTCTACCAGGGAAGGGAAGTCTCTTTGTACCCATGACAGCAGAGATAGCAGGAATGCCCCTTTCCAGTGCAAACTGCACCTGAGCTTCATGCTCATCTTTTGGAGCAAGTGACATTGTTAATACATCTCTATCAAAAAGGTAGCCTCCAAAACTAGCAACGCCGCACCCGACATCTAATACAACACGTGCCCGTTTCCCCCAGGTAATGTCAGGCACAGACTGCAAATCATATTAGGAAAAGTTGACAAGAATAATCCCACCTTTCACTGGTCTTCTCATAATAATCCTACCTTTACATAATCCCAAAATAATCCCACCGTTGCACCTCATCTTCTTTCATTGGACCCTAACCAAGTTTTTTACCTTTCTTTGAAAATCTTATATAAATAATCTCACATTTATAAAGATATAATAGAAAAGTGAAAGGTGAGATTATTTATATGATTTTCCAAAAAAGAGTAAAAAACATGGTCAGGGTCCAATGAAAGAAGATGAGGTGCAAAGGTGGGGATTATTCTGGGATTACCTAAAAGTGGGATTATTATGAGAAGACCAGCGAAAGGTGAGATTATTTTTGTCAATTTTTCCATCATATTATTATAAGAATTGAGTAACTATATTCTGGAACAAGAATGAAGATGAACCAAAGTAGAACATACACATATATAGAATTACTTCCGTCCCACTTAGATTGGGACATGACAAAGCGCCTATGTGATTGGTAAAGTAAAAATAAAATAATAATGAATTAGAATCACACAAATGTTATCAAGTATGATATGAGATAAGCAAAGCGAGATAGACAAAAAAAGGAAATTGTGACAAAGATAACAGAATAGAGGGAGTAACACCTTATTTGTTGAACTTTACTTTTTAGGCCATTCTAAAATACTAACCACTTTCATTTTTTAAACGCCTGATTTGTTTTCATTACAATCAAAAGAAAAGTGAAATGGGCATACTCAGTGGCGGACCCAGAAAGTTGTAGCCACGGGGTCCCTACCCTTTTATATATCTAATCTCTAATTCATATAAAACTAATAAGAATCCTCATGTTGTTCAGGTATATTATAAGCCAAATTAGCTTCACTTTCATCAATTACTTGATCCAATTCTTCATCTATTAATGGCGAATCATTTGAATTAACACCTGAACTACTTCCGGTAGTCTGAGTTTTTTTAAATTTGGATACAACACCAAAATATTTTTTCATCCTAAATCGTATAAAATTGAAAATAACATTTATAAATACATACATTTATTATTTTAATCTAACATTTAAAAACTTGAGAAAAGGCATAGGTCTAAAAGCGCATAGGCCAAAACGACGTAGTTTTGGTCTATCTAATTAAAATAGTTTTGAAAAAAAAAAAGATCCCAAGGGGATTCGAACCTGGTACCTCCAGGTATCATAGAGGCGTTAACCTGCGCTTGCTCCCGTTTGCCCGCTGCGTTCTTTTGGTTCTTAGGTCGTTTTTTGTGTAAATATACATGTAAAAATTAATTTTATATAATATATATAGGTAATTTTTTCAAGGTGCACAGGGTCCCGGGACCCCGTGGGACCCTTAGTGGGTCCACCTCTGGGCATACTTTGAGACAACGAGAGCATTCTTATTTGGGAACACGAAGTACTTGACAAGGTCTGATTCCAATTTCAACTTTTCATGTGAGTAGCAATGTAGGAGTTATAGTTTTCTCTTACCATTTTCATATATAAATTCCAGATCTGATAAATCTTATATCGAAATGGAAGAAAACCAAAGGTTACTTGAAGCTACCTCCCACTCGACTATAACATCCAACCTCTAACCCAAATCTGGATGAACTAGATATAGAATAAAGAGCAATAGTTGGTCCTAACCTGCTGTATAAAGTCAATATAATGAAGAGCACCATGAACAAACTGAGTTCCACCACCCGGGAAGGTAAGGTATTCGCCATTAGCTTTAACCCAATTTTGATGTCCTTTATATGCTGCAAGCTTGGTATGTGGAACATTGTGGTACCATATCTATAGGAGGACAAAAAAATCAAACATCAGAGTTGTTAAAGAGCATAACTAATCAACCAACATATATAGTATCTGGGGTTATTCCTACTATTAGGCCAGGCCTAGCTTTTAAAATGTAAATCAAGTCTTATTGAATTAATATGATATTAGAACAAATTTGACCTCTATCCATCATGGGTGCTCTGTTAGGAGGGCGCCCCTATGAAAATTAAAAAAAAAACACAAGAAAATGAGATGCTTGACCTTGATGTGTAAATATTAGACTACTTTTTCTATCAAATCACTCCCTAAAGATGGAAGTATTATGCATGTCAATGGGTAGGGGTGGGGCAGGTAGTGACAAACCCGGACCTGCCCTGTGACTTTATTAAATGGACCTGCCCGCCCCATGATCCGCACGGGTCATTATAACTTATAAGTTGGCCTATGACCCGCCTCATGCGAGGCGGGTCTGCCCCGCCTCACCGTAATCTAATTAGCTAGTATACATCTCAATTTGCGGAAAGTCATTGTATCTTGAATTTATATAAAGTTTACCTCCAAATGATTAAAAAACACTATTATATTAAAACAAAGTCACAATACAAAACAAGGTATCAAAACTAAGAAAAAAATGTCTGTCTATCTATATTAACAAATCAATATATAAATGCATTGACACTTAATGATTCATCTTGCACATATATAAATATTACTCCCTCTGTCCCTAACATTGGGAAATGATAAGGTGTCATGGTTATCAAGAAAAATGGAGTTATGTGGTTGATATTGAATTGATAAAGTAAGGATAAAGTAAAAATGATTTAGAACGACGCAAAATTTAGTATGAGGCAATTATAGTGGGGCAGATCGAAAAGGAAAGATGAGACAATCTTAGTGAGACGGAGGAAATAATATATTACATGACCAATAAATTAATGATTTATTATACATGTATATGTATATTTGTAGTATAATCTTAAACAAATAATGTATACTTAAATATTATATAATATATTGAACTGGACTAGCCCCATTCTGTGCACGGGGCAGGACGGACCTGCCCCATTTGCAAGACAGGGCTAAGAGGACCCGCCACAAATGTCTCGAGGCAGGGCGGGCATTACGGGCCGGGTTTTTTACATGCCTAGGATGTATGGAACCCAAATCTTTATAAGAATCAATAATAATGTGAAAGCTAATGTTTCTTTAGAAGGAGAAGAGAATATTAATAGATTACCTTTTCCCTACTTGTGGGCCACTTAATTGGGCGTTGATATCCTTCAGGGAGAGGAATGAGACAGGAGGGGGGATTGTTTGGACAATGTCTCTCCCTGTGTTCATAATGCATTGTACTCTTGAGGTTCTTAATGGCTTCTATATTATCAAGGCAGGGGATGAAATCAGGTCCAGCTGTGACATTGCATAGTTTCCAAGTGTACTCTTTTTCTTTAGCCAAATCAAAAGAGGACTCTGCTAATTTTTCATTCTTTGACTCTACTGCCTGGGTTGAAAATGCCCCATTTTGTGTTTTGGTTTCATTTAGATGTTCAGATTGATCCGCTGAAGGAAGTACATTAGTCACATAATCTTTTTTCTCCATTGGATCTTCATTTAAAGGCTCCCTAATAGGTGCTTCTTTTATGTTTGGTACATCTGATGGGAGTGGAGATTGATTAGGAGAACTTTCGTGATCTTCTTTATCTGCAACCTTCTCTTCTGTTATACCATTTCCCTTGTCATCGCCACCTTTTGTATTATGAGTATAAGCTTCTTCTGGCTTTAACTCAGCACCATTTTCAACAAACTTGTTTTCACTTTTTTCTCCTGATTCTCCAGAATCCTTATACCCTCCCTTCGATGCTTCACTTTCCGTCTTGTCTTCCAAATTATGTGGCACACTATTGGTCACACCTTCAGTTTTCTCCACATTATCTGGCACACCATTAGATCCACCTTCACTTTTCTCCACATTATCCAACACACCCTTGGATTCACCTTCAACTTTCTCCATATTTTCAGGTACACCCTTGGACTCACCTTCAATTTTCTCTCTCGCTTCTTCAGACTCTTTATCCCCTTGCTTTAATGCTTCATTTTCATTCTTCTCTTCCACATTATCCGGCAGTCCTTTAGATTCACCTTCGGGTTTCTCTACAATCTCCCCCGGGTTTTCTCTTGCGGTTGTTGCATCTTGGACATTTGTAACATTTTCTTGTTGAAAAGGAGCATCCTTATTAGCTTCATCAACAAGTAAATTACTCGGATTGTCCTCGAAAGGTTTTGTTTTTTCTTCATTAGTTAAACTGTTCCCATTACCCTCACTCGCTTGTGTCTTAGATTCGTTATATCTCTCCTGAGAAGACACACCTTCAGAAGACGATGATGTCATCATCCACACCCCAATTATACAAAGGGTTATCACAACCACTACAGTTGCCTTTGAACAATGAGAAGGCGACGATTTCTTATCATCAATCCTAGAGTATTTACCTAAGGCCATATTTGTTGATCCAAAATTTACCAAGCCACCCTTTCAACACTTCTATATTAATATCAATTTGCACCAAAAACTGCCTGCATCCTATCCCTACATATCACCCATGATGACTTAACTGTTTAGCTGCCATTGTTATTAACATAGCCACAACCATTTTCATCGATTTAAAGCTATAATACATGGAACACGAATAATTAAAAACAAGAATAATAATCTAATAAAAAACTACTAGTATGTGAAATATATTATTGTCATAGAAACATGGAAAGTACAAATCACAAATCACATAAGGCTTGTTTCTTTATACACCAATCAAAGAAATAAAAAGACCATACCAGATACCAACATCAGATCAAGGAAACAAAACAAGATTAAGTTTCCAAAAGAAAAATGTGGTTCAAATGCAATAATGTAAAGACATGGATGGAGATCGAATCTAGGAAAATAACTTCATGCATGAACCGCTTACCTCATGGGTTATGTTGTTGTAATAGCCACATATATCTGATTGGTGTTACGAATAACACATTGCATCTTTTGAGGTGAGAGTGAAATGATCCAGGGATGCCGTCACCACACATATGATTGATATTTAGATGGGGAATGTACAGGTTGATCACCGGGTCAATCACAATAATGGACTAATTGTTATGCTTTTTTGAGATACTATTTTTTTGAAGATTTAAACTTATTTATTTTTTAAAATGGGATGGTAATGCTTTAAATAATAGCCGCTATATTACTCGAGTCATACATCCAACACGGATACTTGGTAAAAGGTTGTCGGCCTTTAATTTGTAGACTTCTACTTGTACATTATTATATAGATTATGATAATAAACCAATAATAAAGGATTCAGTAATTGAATTATAACTTTGATCATTATATAATTTTGTACATTATTCATTAGAGCACTTTAATTTTATGTAGCCAACTAAACACAAGTTTCACAAAATATAATGGTTGACAACTTGATATATCAAGTAAGTCTATAGAATTAACTTATCAATAAACACGAGAATATATATATATATATATATATATATTAGTGAACATGTTACAATATATACTCACCGCGGAACATGTAAGTTTGACGAATGATAATGTTTCTCTAATCTTTTCATTATAAAAGAATCTCCAACATTTATCACGCCATCTTACTCCACTCATTAGCACGCTCACTAAAAATTAATTTCTATTAATACATCAACTTAATTCGTCATGTATTTCGAATAATAAAGATGATCTAAATAAATGTTTTTATTTAACCATAGTGTACATGTATGGAAGTTAGAAATTTAAATGATTATACACTATTTTAAAAAATTACAGAATGTGTTTATTATAACAGAGTTCCACATATAGTGCTATGATGCAACGGAATACTATGAACTTGTACGCCATTACATTGTACGAATTTTAATTGATTTCCATGGATTGTCCCCTTACACTTTTATTAAACCACAAAAAAACAAAAATTACAAATATTCAAATGAAGTCATTACAAAAATAAAATAAAAACTTTAAATATATATCCATGAACATACGATAATAAAAAAAGTTTGTTTAAGCAACAAAATAAATGTTTTTTTTTGAATTTATAAAAGAGAATGTATCTTAATCTATTTTCTCTTTATTTATGAAATCTGTCCACATTTGTTGAGCTACAATATTTCTCCATTGATTTACATTTTATCTTCAGTTGTCTTGAGTTTGGGGAGTGTCAATCTTTCTAAAATCTCTTACCATAAAGATGGTTCATAAACGTATCATCTTGTTCAATTTAAAATTTATCAGTGTAACATTTGATAAAACTTTAGGCGATGATTAACGGACTTTAAAGTATTAAGGTAAACAAGTTGTTTGTTAAAAATTGAGGTGATAGTAATTGATTCAACTATTCATTTCTTATACCGTGCCATTTTTTTGATAGAATTCGGCTTATATTAATAACCAATGAACATTCAGACTATGGGTCAAAAGACAGAAAGAAATCTGACATCCGTTATCCCTTGAACCAGACTCGGAATTTATCGTCATAACAATAAAATTCGTTGATCCATAGCTGGGAAACAAAAGGCCAAAAACGGTTGTCATCCTCCTCCCGATCCCCATATCCAAACTCAATGTCTGACAATTTGAAACCATAAAAACACACGAAAAATCAATACTAAAGTAATAAGTACTGAAAAAATAAGCAAAACAAACTAAAACAAACTTCTGCTCCAGCCGATACACTCGAATCATCCACTGGACTTGCGGCATCTCTGGCGGGCTTAAGCAGCAAAGCCCGCCTCCTCCCCGTTTTTGCTCCATCCATAGCCATGTTGTCCTCCCCGAAATCCTTTGCTGACCTTATCTCCCAAATCTTCCTCCTCTTAGAACCTTCTTCCTTTGCCTCCTCCCCTTCATGTGTGAAGCTTTGGGCTGACTCAGTTGCTGAAACTTTTTCCTTTACATCTATCTTTGATGCCCCCTTCTCCCCCTCCGTTTTGCCAGAGCTCAATGAACCCTCTAAGCCCCAGTTTTGCCCTCCTGTCGGGCTTGTCTTCACCCCACCACCCGCTCTGAGCTAGATGGGATCCAAATATTTTTTCTAAAACTAACCCCTCTTCATAATTCAATGGACAAAAGCTATCCGAATGTCCAATTAGACCACAGATAAAGCAAAAATTGGGCAGTCTTTCATATTTAAAATCCACCCAAAAACTTTTACCATCTTTTTTCAGTTTTGTCCCCTTCTTCAGCGATTTATCCATCTTCATAAGAACCCTAATTCTCATATACGGCACTATCTTTTCCTTCTTGTGACCATCCTCATATTTAATAAATTCCCCAATAAAATTACCAACCCTTCTGGCAGTACCCAGATTAACCAGACTCATTATGAATTTGCACCCAAAACTCAGCCTCATTTAATATTATTTTATGTGGAATATCATCAGACATAAGTTCTTTTAACATAATCAGACTACGTTCAAACTGCCAAGGTCCACCATCAAGAACACACTGCATATCAAAACGATGGTTAAACGAAAAGAGATACCTTTTATCACATATTTCCTTCATTGTCATGCCTTTCCCCGGCCGCCATAAGGAGGTCATCTTCTCCTTGAGATCCGAAAACCTGATCTTCCTATCAGTAAGTACTTGACCAATCACCGGGAATCCAATCGCTGCCTCCTCAACCGCCGGTATACTCGCTGCCTCCTCCTCCTCCTCCTGAAGCGCCATCTTCTTATAACGATCCACGACGCTGTCCATAGCCCCTTTCACCGCGAACCTGCTTCAATGAAGCGGACCAAACCCCGTCTTCCTCTATCTGCTTTACTCAGTCTTTTGATAAGGACACTCCGAAGATAAGGACACTCCACCGCCTTGACGTCCAACCAAAAACTGCCGCCTCACTGACCAATGAAAAACTCGCACTCCGAAGGAATCGAAGGCGGGCGAAATAAGGCTAAGGGTTATCGGCCGATAACCCTAGAGAGATGAGAAAAAAATGATGGACAAAAAATATTACTAGTATTAAAAAATGGAAAAGTTCCGTTAATATTACTAGTAGTAGTTAAGAAGTGGTGGACAAAAAAGTATTACTAACCCAATTTAATTTATTATATTAAACAAAAGCTTTTCATTTTCATACTAATTTGCCTTCATGTCTACTTAGGATATTACGGTTGGAGGATTTCTTACTGATATTGAACTACAATAACTTAGTATATTAATATTAATATTATAATAATATAATCAAGACGGACATGCAATTCAATCCACTACAAGAAAATTGTCTTTTTTGTGATGAATAATTTGCCACTGATGTTGAATTTACTCGAGGTGTAATTCAATCCATATATTGTCCTACTACAACCAAGCATTCCGGCTCAGCTAGTTGTAAGGTTACCGTGCTTAGTGGAGGTCTCGAGTTCGAAACCCGCTAGGCACATAAGGGTTTGAAACTCGATGGAATGAGTTTCAGCCCTGATTACTCCAGGCTCCCCCCAGCCCCCCTCCCCAGACCCCCCCTGGAGTAAAAAAAAAAATATTGTCCTACTACATGTGTGCGGAATAAAGTAGCCTTAGTTTACAAAAATTTAGTGGATAAAAATGTAGACAAAAGAATAAAATAGAAAAGTAAAAAATAATTTTTTCAATTTTTAAAAAACATGATTTTTGTACTCTAAAAAGAAAAAATTCTCTTATAAACTAAAACTCACTGAGTTAGAGATTCATATATAAAAATAGTAGGGGAGGGCAATGGGCATAGCGGTTTCAAATAAGTTTTTATGGGATTTAATATCAATTATATTTGAAACAGATTGGAAGCACGATCACCAAACAAAAATCATACTATGTTTCGGTTCGGTTTAGATTTATTTGGTTCGTTTCAGTTTTGATTTGTTATTTTAAAAATATATTAAGAATTTTTTGACTATTTGAGTTTCGCTTGACCTAATTTGTTTTTCACAATTTCCATTTATGTTAGTTTGGTTTAGTTCGATTTGGAAGGCATACTACCAAACTCAAACTAATCCATCCTTTGCACCTCATTTTCGGTCCCTGACCGGTTGATGACCTGTTATTCCAAGTTACTTTCTTATCTTTGCAAACCATTATACCATAAATCTCACATTTCACAAAGATAATAACTTGCAAAGATAATTATTATAATAAAAGGGATAAATCATGTCTGAACTTTTCTGATCTGAATGTTTGCATTAAAAAAATGTCAAAAAATTTGCATGCTTTAGAAGTTGTTCTCTTCACCTAATCTGATCTGATCTGAATTTTTCTGATCTGATATGATCTGATCTGAATCTTTCTGATCTAGTCTGATATGATCTAAATCTTTCTGATATGATCTGAATGTTCCTGATCTGATCTGAATATTCCTGATCTGATCTGAATCCTTCTGATCTGATTTAAATATTTTCTAAAATTATAATTAAATGTTTCTAAAAATTCTTTATTGGATTGGATGGGACTGAATGAAGCAATACTCGACCGTCCATTAACGGCTGAGGAACTTTCGGTCTTCCCAGAATTTCTGTGGTTTGTTAGCTCTGAATAATCCTCCCTTTGCTGGATTTTTACCGATATAATCATAAAAAGCTGATTTTTCCGGAATTTTCGACCACGCTTCTGATAAACTTTGATTTTCTGCTAGTCCTATACTAACTCTTCAATATATCTCTTGTTGGAAATACCCTTGATAATTTAAATGTAATTATAATCATTATTATAAAAAAATTATAATAATAATAATAATAATTATAATTATAATAGGTATAACTATTATTATTATTATATGTATTACACTAGTTATAAATATAGCTATAATTAGAGGAAGCGGTCCAGCTCAGCTGGTCGCCGACTCACTCTCCCTTATGAGAGGTCTCGGGTTTGAAACTCAATGGGGTGAGTTTCAACCTAGTTTACTTCAACCCCCCAGACCCCCTCCCCCAGACGTCTCCTGGAGTAAACAAAAAAAGCTATAATTATAATTGTAATTATATTATTAGTTATAATTGTTTCTATAATTATAATTTTAAATATAATTATAATATTTATTTTTATAATTTTAATTGTAATTACTCCGTGTAATATAATAATAACAAAAAAAAACTAATAACAATAACAACAACAACCATAATAGTAATAAGAATAATAATAATCATGATAATAATAATTATCATAATAATAATAATCATTAGAGTAATTATAGTAATGATGATGATGATGATGATGATGATGATGATGATGATGATGATGATAATAATAATAGTTATAGTAATAATAATAATAATAGTAATAATAATAATAATAATTATTGTAATAATAATTACAATAACAACAACAACAACAACAACAACAACAATAATAATAATAATAATAATAATAATAATAATAATAATAATAAACTAATAATTATAATAATTATTATTATTATTATAATTATTATTAATATTATTATAATTATTATTATAATAAAAGAGATAAATCATGTCTGAACTTTTCTGGTCTGATCTGAATGTTCCTGATCTGATCTGAATGTTCCTGATCTGATCTGAATGTTTCTGATCTGATCTGAATGTTTCTGATCTGATCTGAATTATTCTGATCTGATCTGAATCTTTCTGATCTGATCTGATATGAATTTTTCTGATCTGATCTGAATAAAATAAGAATAAGCAATAAGTAATAAGATTAAGACAAACAGAACAGCTTCTTAGACTTTTAATAGATAAATTTTACCCGGAAGGTCAGATGAATAAGACCTATAAAAAGATTCACATCACATCAAGAGGTAGATATAATCTAAGGGAAAGTTCCCAAAATAGGACTAAATAAGTTTGAAAATTCCAAAATAGGACTGTCATATTTTTATTTCCAAAATAGGAGTAATTACTGTCAAGTTTGGAAAATACTGTCATCTTTAAAGCCTTGTACTGCCAAAACATGGCAGTAATTAGTCCTATTTTAGGAATAAAAACATGGCGGTCCTATTTTTGGAATATATAAGTACTTTTAGTCCTATTTAGGGTAATTTCTCATAATCTAAACATAAACAAGTCAATTTATGCAACGAAAAATAAAAAGACAAACGCCTCATATTAAAAATAATCTCAATTTTCATGACCAAATAGTACTATATTAAAGTTACACCCATGAGTAAGAGAATTACTCCGTACCTTTTATATGTGGTCAGGGACGGATCCAAGGGGGGCGCGGGGGGCGACCGCCCCCCTTGGACTTCCAAAATTTTCTACTATATATATATATATACTAGTTTTTATACGCGCGTTGCGCGATTGGATAAATGCCCAATACTATGTGCATGACATATACTTTTATAGAGATGAGCATAGCTGAGCACAATTCGGAGAAACGGCCTGAAAAGAAACCTAGACAGTTGGCGGTTGGGTTGATGGGAAAAATGGGTTCTCCCACCATCTATCTTTCTTCCCTTCTTCTCCACATCGTTGTTCTCCATGTAAGAGCACAAACTTTTTTAATTTATTCAATTGATATAGTTATGCCTATGAACGACATCGATTTTGAGAATAACTATTCTGCATCACCAACAATCTTGCGTGCTTTGATTATGTTGGGAAAGCAATGGTTTTAATTGGTTGTATTTAGGTTTAGGGATTAGGGCCAGTTCTGATTTCTTTCACTTATTGATCCTCTTATCTCTTCATTGAGAATGTTATTGTGTAGAAATCTCATCTTCTTTTTCTGATTATTTATTTATATTACAAATGATTTAATTTTGCACAATGAACGACATATATTTTCAACGGCATAGAGTATAAATGATCATCATGGTTAGATCAAGGCTGATGTGAGGTTATATTTAGATTTCAACAAAAGCAGACTATTGGTTTACAGACTAATAAATAATAATACTAAGATTTACTGATTCAGTATCATATTTTTAGGGAAACTCCATTTGAATAATTTATTTGCACTTCCAAAAAGCATTAGGAACATAGAAGCTTAGAACAAGAACTTACTACACTTGATTTTTTTTGGGGCCGAGTATTGCTTTATCTCACAAGCATTTATGGTAAATTGGAGGTCTGAAATTTCATTATCAGCATATGTAAGGGCCCTTACAATTATGGAGAGAGTGTATGATGTTTTATTATGCGTGGGGGTAACTTCTTCCTAGCAGAAAGAAGATCAAAATATAAAAAAAGTTCCAACCATAGGTAGGATAAACCAATTCTTTTCTCCTTCTCTTGGTCCAAAGTGTCATTGCGCGGGGAGAATATGCCCAATGTGATTCTTGTAGATAGTATTAGAATTAGAAGAGGACTTGGTCCGGGCGGCCCGATTCGGTACTGTTTGGGCCCGGCCCAACCCGGTACCCGGTCTTGGAGCCGGTTCGGGCCAACGGAACCGCTCAGTTCCCGGTGCGGGCTCGGGCCCCCTAAAACGCGAACCGGTTCGGGCCTAATTTTTTTTTTTTTCATTTTTTTTTATTCTACCGGGTTGGGTTGGGTGTTTTGGGGGGGGGGGGGGGGTGAGGGGTAGGGGGGTCGGGGGTTGATTACAAAAGCAAAAGAAAATAAAAAAAAAAAGCCCGAACCGGAACCGCCTGGGTCCACCCCTAATTAGAATATTTTGTTTAGGTTATATAGAAGGGAAACATATACTCCGTATAGCATAGTACTAAATAAAATTTACAACGGAAGCGTAGATAATTCCAAACACTATATGCGTCAATGCGTGAGATGTTATAGCATCCATAGTGGCATAGACCATAGAAAAAAACTTGAATCGCCCCTTGCTATAGTGGAAACATATACGGAGTATATATCATAGATAGTATGTTTTGTTTTTTTTGTTTTTTTACAGTATATAATTAAGCATATAATATAAATATTGAGAATATGCCTCAATGATATTTTTTAACTGATTATGCTTATGATTAAAAAAAATGATTATGCTTATGATTTAAGAGCACATGGGTATCA